GGTTCGTTTCCTTTTCCCGCAGATTTCCATCCAGCGAGGCTATCGATTATTACGGCGTCCTTCGCGAAGGAACGCCGCACACGTTCAGTATCGACGGATCACCTTGCGTCCGATGCTACTACGTGGTCGCAGCATGTTGCAGTTGGCCATCGCGGATCGTGCAATCAACGATCATTAGGGCAAATCAATAGCCGCGAGACGAGAGTGATGCGACGCCGTTGTCAATTATGATCCAGTTGGATCCTCTTACGTCCAACTAAATTGCCAGGTGTTTCAAGCAAGACACGAAGTTCGTCAATCGGCGACCGATCCAAGCGTGAACCGATTATATTTGTGCACACGCCTAGGCCGAAGCAACTCTGGCCGTGTCGTATGCCCATCACGTTCGATCGAGTCTTGCGCAAAAGCAGCGGTTGTTTCCTAGCGATTGACGGATGAGCCAACCGGTCGTCGTACGTAGTGCCGTTCCATGTTTCCTCGAACCTTTTGCAAATCAAGTCCATTATTCGCTTGTGTCCGGCCGAATGTGTCCGTGGAACGTTCACCAGTTTCGCTTCGAAACTCTCGTGACTTCCCCGTTAACCTCTTGCGCTCGGATCACGTGCCACGCACGTCGAGAATCCTTTGTCCCAAATTGAAAAATATCGATTTTTTTTTTTTTTTTTTTTTTGCATATTCTTAAAGGACACAGTTTCAAAAATAAATCTGTGTAACCTTAAATCGTGAACTCCTCAAATTGCAANATTTTCTCAGTTTTAAGGGGCGTATTATGAGTGTGAAAACTTTTGAAAAATATCGATTTTTTTTTTTTTTTGCATATTCTTAAAGGACACCGTTTCAAAAATAAATCTGTGTAACCTTAAATCGTGAACTCCTCAAATTGCAATATTTTCTCAATTTTAAGGGGCGTATTCTGAGAGTGAAAACTTTTGAAAAATATCGATTTTTTTTTTTTGCATATTCTTAAAGGACACAGTTTCAAAAATAAATCTGTGTAACCTTAAATCGTGAACTCCTGAAATTAACGAAGTTATGGTTGTTTGAAGGACGCGACGACCAGCGTCATTGTTGCTGCAATACTAAACTTTAAAGGCATTTTTCTGGAGACTATGTTTTTTCAGAAAGGTGTCCATCGCATCTCAAAATCTACTTGACCAATTGACTCAAAATTTTAAGTACGCATTTCATACATGTGTGGCTATAGTTCCTACCGGATCCTATCAAAAAATTTCATTTTTTATATTTTTTTTCTAGGCTTCCGAAGTTTAACAGAAACATGCAAAAATCGATAATCAAACTTCAAAGTATCGCCACTTTTTTAATTGCCGACTTTTTTTCTTTTGTTTCGGTACGGTTTGGCTATAGCCAAATTCATACTAATTAAGGAACATTCACGTTTTTTTTATTTCCGACAAGCAGAATGGCCGAAATCGTGGGACGACCTTTTTTTACAAGCGATTATATTTAAGAGTATGCAATGCCACTAATTTAATAACTTTTTTTTGTCCCAAAAAATTTTAAAACGTCGTTGAAACACGTACAAGTAAACCTAGTCAATTTGACTGCAAAAGGTATGAAATAGTTTCTTTGCAAAAAATTCCCTAACAAAGTTAAAAAAAAAAAACACGCATTTACACACTAGAATACCCCCTTAAGTATATTTAACTATAAACCCAGATATGTTTATTATTTACTCTTAATAATTTCTATCCAGTGACATCATACCGACGAGTTCGAGGGAAAACGAAAGCGACGAACGATTGTACACGGTTCGGTCACTCGTTATGGTCCGCGCGAGGGGTTAAACCGCGCTGCGCTTCTCACGGACAACCGAGACCGAGATCTCGCGTCTCCGTGGTGAAAAAAATTTTCTGAAAAACATTTTACGAAACGAAAACTTTCCGTAGATACTCCTCTCTTCTTCAATTTTTTTTTCTTCCGCGATTCGATATCAATTGCGTCCTCGTCCTCGCATTTTTCCTCGTAGTTGAACAGTTTCTTGAAATTGAGAAGACGTGGTAGAATCACAGCCAATGGCATCTACGTTGTACATATCTATTTTCGAAAGATGTTTAATGCCACCTCGTCGACGCTGAACTAAGATTGGAGTACGAACTCTGGGATCGGATAAGATTAAGTGGATAGAATTTAATCAGCTGTTCTGACGCAATTTAGAGGAAACAGATGGAAATAGAAAGTACTCGCCTAATCAATTATCCACAAATGTTCTTTTTTTCATCTCCAACAAAAAGAACAATTACAGACGTTAACGTCAAACGTAATTTGAGCACGTGGGCTGGTTATAAGTTCGTTAGCATAACTGGTCTGACAGTTACGCGCAAAAAACGTTAGAAATTATAATCCAATGAAGATAACAGTTCGTAAATTCTCATATTAGAACGCTGCGTTCTGAATTCCAATGATACTTTGTAAAATATGTATTAGATGTGAAATGTTAATTTTTTACTATTGTGATACGTTGGAGCAATTATAAGTCTCTCCAAAACTCGAATATGTATTTTGTTTTTCATAGTTATTGTTCTAAGGAATTTGTAATTGCTAATACGAGTTATTTCAGTCGTCAGTTTGTCATTGATGATTAATTTTGTGCTCTTGTTGAATCGTCTATAAATCTAAATTTCCAAACGACAGTATTGCTACTTTATACATATTTGTACAAAGGTCTTTAGTCACTGGATAAGAATTATTCTCGTCACCAATTTACCGACAGGAAGAATTAACTTCTAACTTGTGAATAACCGCCTAGGGCAATATTTATATTTTTCATTCAGTTTGTAGTTTGAGCGATGCGCAAACAAGTTTTTGCTTTTACGCTTGTTTCGTTGTTTCTTCTATATTTTATTTTCGATTTGCATTTTATTATCTCACATTTCCGGCAAGTTGGCAGCGTTATCAAAAAGAAAACGTGAGACATAATGAATATTTTTTTCACGAAGGAACTATCTGATTGCAGAATTATTGGCGATTATTAAATGATTATTAAAGGTTAACGCATGTATTAAATATTAATAAATGGAAATACGATAAATTGCGCAAAAGCTGTGATAATTGCACGATTCTGACATTTCTGAGACTTTATTCGCAGATATTGAATACATCGTTCAATAAAAAATGACGATAGATCGATTAACAGATAGATCTGGAAGGAAAGATTCGAAAACACTGTGTGACGGGACAAATACACGTAGCACCATTGTATCGTGAAAGAATGTGTAACATCAACGAATTTCGTTCACAGCTGTTGACTGTTTTTGACATTAGAGTTAAGATATGAAACTTTTATTAGAAGAATTGAAAAGTTCATGAATACATGAGCTCTTATTTCTGCCTCTAAAAATTTATAATTATAGATGTACACAGTTTCGGAATAACGTGTATAAATCTATGTAAAATTTGAAATGATCATTTTGATTATTTTGATAGCTCCGGAGCCAAACAAATTATTTCAATTGTTCATCTGTCTACGTTGTTAGATAATAATTGTTATTCGTCTTCAAAATGTAATTATTGACGAACGAAATTTTTTTTTTATTCCTTGCCGCTGTTTCTGAATTTCTTTCTACCCAGAAAAGAATAGAAATTTACATTTTGTACGTTGATCCGTGTTTCCTCCTATCGTACTTGGAAAATCGTCAATAGATGCAAAAAATTCAACGATAATCTTTATCCAGTATTAAATTACATTGTTCGTATGGTAATTTTCACATGCATGACCAGCTGAATTGCAACCACAGAGTTGCAACTCATGACATTCTTTGTTTGTTATTTCTTTTTAAACCAACAATCGATGGATTAATCGATATTAATCAGTACATCTATATATATATTTACTTATTTTGTTCTCGCCGTTCTCTACTGTAGACTATCTACATTCTTAAGTTAGAATAGAACATTGGAATACAAATATTTGTTTCGTCTATTAGATATACTAACTACTTTGCTCTGGATATTTTATATACTTGTACTTGTAACAATGCAGTTGATGGATGCGAAATAATTTTTACAAAATGATAAGGCAATAACGATAGAAATAATCTAACGAAAAGGAGATCAAAATAAAAGATTTTGTGAATTTTCACTGTTAAATTACCGCGGTCAAATGATCGATTGACATGTGCTATTAAAATTCAAACGCTCGTTCTAAATCCGCGTGTCCTCTACATAATCTTTCTCAACACGCGCGGGAGAATCCATTTCCGATTTAGGCAATTTTTATATTTGCAACTCCATGTACACGTGAATTCAAATGCTCTTGTCACTGATATTTCAAAATAGAAACTGCTAATGTGATCTAGCGCGGCAGAAGAGTATTCAAAACGGTCGAAAAAAAAAAAAAAAAAACAGAAAGATCCGCGTGTAGTTTCGTTGATGCGATTGCTCCATTTTCAACAGCAGTGCGCTCTTGTTCTTCTTTTTCTTCCATCTGTTTCTCCTTCTCGTGCTGGTAACACATGGTGAGAGTTTCATTTTTTCTTTCTTCCTCTTCTTTTTCATTGCGTAAGACAACGAGTTCATAGATCAGTCATACCTTTCATTCGATCACGTTTCGCAGTCGCGACGATTAATCAAACATTGAGCAACACCGTTTTTAACGATATGGCGTAAACGAGAATCAGAGGTAAAGCGAGAATTTTTTCGGGCGATATACATATACGGATACACATATGCGGCGCAAAAGGAAAAAAATATAAGTTGCGTGACTTTGGCGGCGACGCGTAGCAATCCCCGTTGGGACAGGAAGAACTGCGATCGCGGAAGAAAGTAAATAGAAAAATCGGCAGGAAAGAAGAGAAAGGAACAAGTGGGAGAGAGATCGGCGAAGAAGCGAAAACAACTAAAGAAACTGGGAGAAAGATCGACAAAGCAAAGAAAGAAAGAAAAAAAAAAGAAGAACTGACAGAAAAAGCGGCAGAAAAACGGCGAAACTGCGAGAAAGATCGGGAGCACGGTGGAATGGGGAAACGAAATTAGCTACCACGTCAATGTCAGACGTGGTGCGACGACAAAAGGAATAGGCCGTGTGGCATGATGCGGCGCGGAGCGGCGTGACGGAGGAGCATTTCTTCGGAAATCGGCTACTACATCGACTCCATTACCAAGCGTAATCGCGAGCCAGCCTGGCTGAAAGGGATATAAGACTACGACTGCACGGTTGTGCGTTGTCAGACCGTAGAGAATATCGTTCGCGGTCAAACTAAAGGGGAAAGAGAACCTTGGCATCGGTGTTCCTCCTCGCTGAGTGGTGCGTGCGGAAAGGCGAATCGAGAATCTGCCACTTCGATAACAGTTACCTCGGATCCATCGTGCACGTCGGTACCCTGCCTCGCGGCTCCTTCTCCACACCCTGTCGCGGTAGCCCTTTTGCAGATAGAGTCGATTCGATCCTTTGTTTCTTTGTTTCCTCTTTTTTTTTTTTTTTTTTTTTTGTTTTTCCTAAATCCGCTCGTATTCCACTCGAGCAACGACCGCCGGTCTTTGTCTCTCTCTCTCTCTGATCGTAACGACGTACTCGGCAACGAGTACAGGACGTCCTTGGACGAAACGGAACGACCAAAAAGAAGACAGTGAAAGAAAATTGCCAGTGGATCGTGGTTCGTTCAGCAAGATTCTCCCCTGCCGATAACCTGTCGTCGGCGGGATCAAGCACGTTGATTCGACGCACGGCCGTCTCTTCTCGCACAGAACAGGTGAGAGTAACGTCTCTTTTCTTCTTCGTTCGTTTCGCTTTCGTTTGACGCGGCGTTTGTTGCCCACTTCCATCGCGCGATTTTGCTCCACGACGGCACCGATCGATACACGTGACACCGCGCAATCGGAGAATTCTCTGTTACTTTTTACACCGATGAAACTTCACTCGGAATTCTTTTCTTTTTTTTTTTTTTTTTTTTTTTTTTTTAACGCGCGTGGCGAATAAATTTATAAACAACGATTCAGGGTTAACATCTTCAAATGTTAGTTAGTTGAATACAGTTAATGGTTTCAATCGGGTAAAACGTGGGACAGTGATTTAAATATTTCGAACATGTAGTTCATAGTCAAGAAGAACAATTCGATGGGCTTCTCTAACGTGTAAAATGATAAGCTTCTATAGTGTATCGATAACACGTCGAGCATGTGTCTTACGAGACTTCCACAGACTGTTTACAAATTGTCCGCAGACGTCTGGAAAATTGTATGCAGACGCACCTTAAAAGAAACGATTAGACAGTCACACGTTGTGCTTAGTCGTGAATTTTGCAATCGTTGGTGCCACTGGAAATAAAATCATCGAGCAACCATCTTGAAATTCAATTCAATTTCTGAGTCAAGTATACTTTAAAAAGTAGCGAACGGTTCGAGTTAAATTGGTTTTCAAACTTCTCGTAAAGAAGAGAGAAGAAAGGAAGGAAAAGGAATGGAAACGATTACGAACGGAAAGGACATTGCTAATAAAAATGTTGATTTTGATGGCGAAAGTTAATCGAGAAATTATTCTGGACGCGTGTCAACACACGTTTTAACGACACAGATCGGGAATTATGAGTTTGTCAGTTCGATTGAATCGTAAACATATATTTGTCAGGTTAAACGTTGTGACTAGTGATAGCGGATCGGTAATTACATTGCAACGGCGATGGGACATGCTATGTCCACATTTTGCCTACCTGTTTTGCAATATGCTTGAAAATGAAAATTTACGTAGTTCAGTTCGATTTGCCATCCCAAAAATATAAAACTTGATTGAGGAAGTTTGAAAACCAACGTTTCCCCGAGAAAGGAAAAGGAAATCAGCGAATCGCGTAGCGTAATCTCGGTGATTAAAGAAAATTTACTGAATAAAATCTTGATGATTAGACGAAAGCTTACATTAAAAAGGAAAACGAATGTGTTACCTTAGATATATACAAATTTGCTCTTTGTCGTGAAAAAGCAAACGAATTATGACAAGGAGTGGAATTTTATGCATTTATGGGAAATTTGACAGTAGAAAAAAATGTCACCGATAGTAATGAAGGTATGTAGCATGGTAAAGATTCTTTAATCGTATTCACAATAATATTGCATAAAAAATGATTTAGTCGCGATATTTAAGTTCTTCTATTAATCAATCGATTCGTTAATCCATGCCACTGCCACAATGGTCGACAAAACTTGAATAATAGTACAAAATGAGAAATGCGCATTCGTTGCACTTTCGCTGTGATAATAATGTTTCTCGCTGAACCCTGAATAATATGAAAAAAAAAATCAAATATACATAAAGAGGCAATGTTCTGTAGAAATTAAATATTCCGCTGACAATGCGTATGAATATCGCGTGACAGCCAATGTGTGTCAATTCAAATGTTCGCCAATTTGCACAGTCGGGTTAACTTAAATATTCACCAATTTGCTGTGAAGCACGAACGAGTTTCAGACAAAGTGGAAAAGAAAAAAAGAAAAACGCGAGAAGCGAATAATATAAATAACGTCGATGAAAGTAGCTAACGACTAAGAAGACTGTTTGACATGATACGTTTGCAACGCAAGTATGCGGCGGGCTCGTGACAAAAATGTTCTTAGAATCTCCACGCATGAAACGTCTGCCTGTCTCGATAAGAAAACGTGTGGGACAGTGTTTGTCCGCAACAGTAAATATTACTGCTGCGAGGGACATAAAACGGTAAAGAGATTATATAAATAGCGCGATCTATTGGCAATTCTAATTGATGTTTACTGTGTTGCACACTCTTGAATATTTCCACACGCATCTGGCTTGAACTTGGCTAATAGCATCCGAACATTTACGAAAATCACCGAGCAGACAATACAATCGCGTCGGATCTTTATATAATTAAATTGAAGCTTTCGATCGAAGCTCGCCTTTCCACTTTTCTCTCACCTGAGTCGTGAGAAATAACATATTGTTGGTGTGACGCGGCTGATAAATCAACGCCAGTTCCTTTAATGTAAATTAAAAATCGAAATGAATAAATATCATCTTTCGACGTGTTTCCTTTTTCTTTTTTTTTTTTAAATTGTTATTATTACGAGTTATTAGCTTGCGAATTTCCATGCATTTATGGGAAATTGGAAGTGGCGGAGAAAGAATATTTCATACAAACATGCGACAGTGGAATAAAATATCTTGAAATATAAATAAAGTATCTTATAATATTATACAAAGTATCTTAAAATATAAATGAAGCATCTTATAATATCCATGCATTTATGGGAAATTGGAAGTGGCGGAGAAAGAATATTTCATACAAAACATGCGACAGTGGAATAAAGTATCTTGAAATATAAATAAAGTATCTTATAATATCCATGCATTTATGGGAAATTGGAAGTGGCGGAGAAAGAATATTTCATACAAACATGCGACAGTGGAATAAAGTATCTTGAAATATAAATAAAGTATCTTATAATATTATATAAAGTATCTTAAAATATAAATGAAGCATCTTATAATATCCATGCATTTATGGGAAATTGGAAGTGGCGGAGAAAGAATATTTCATACAAAACATGCGACAATGGAATAAAGTATCTTAAAATCGAATATCTGCTATGATGCACAGTGGATAAAGCAAATTCGTCTATTTTACTTTTTATTATTTTTCTGGCCACATTCATAAAATGCATCGGAATCGTGCAGTCTAATTGTAGATTCGATACGACGTCATACTCATTGCTGTTGCGATCGGTGAATTATAGTCGCTGCAAGTAAAGTAGTTACACCTCATCATATTTATTGCAGCATTTACGTAATAATTGATTGGGTCCATGTGTATTAATGAAATGTAATTTAATGAACTGTAGAATCTGATAAGATTTCTTCATTGGAAAATGAAGGTGTACAAACGCTCTGGATAATTTGTAGCCATTGTGTTTCGATTATGTATTACGTTGTTAGTCTGTATTCATATATAAATGACACGTCTAACGATATCTTTGTTCTGTTTCTGCCCCAGAAAGATCTAATCTCAATCTTTTGCAATTTGTCTTATTTGTCAATGACACGACCGCGCAACCCACGACTAGAATGCGGATTTTTATGCGGATTATTATATTTGTGGGAGATCGTAAAATGTACGTAGTAGGCAAAAATACACAAATCAATTCAAAGTGTAGTATAATAACAAGAAAAATAATTTCAAAGTACAGCGTAGCGTGGTGATAAGTCAACGAAACAATCCAATCTGCTTTTTCTGATTTCGTTCGTTCTTTCATAATGGTATCTACAAAAATACGAATTTACACAAAATTTCGAGATCTACTGATAATTTTTAAATTTTAAAACTATTTCCTGCCGCGATATAATAATCTGACATATCGATAGAAGGTCGACGATGTGTCACCGATAATTATAATTACTGTTATTTCTTACTCTTCATTGTCATTTATTTTCAATACATTCGTCATGCATTCTCCGCCAATTTTTTTCTATATTAATGGGAATTCACACCTTACGAAACAAAGTAATAATAGAAAATTCGTAGTACAATGCGCATTTACAATTCGTATACGTTCGTATGGAATATTGTTACGTCCATCAAGCATGCGCGAGAACTTGAAAGTATCAGGCTGTATTCTGGACCGGAACAGATGCCTAAAACAGGATTTCTCGGGATTTCCAAGAGAGTCGGGATTCCCCCATCCGACCATTTCGTTCCCTATACCCTTTTACTTGCCATGCATGCATGTAATAAATATCTTTTAACTTTCGCGAACCATTTGCAGTGGTTGATAAAAGAAAATTTACGACAGGGATACTGTTAAATATTATATTCTTTATCACAGTTGATATAAAATCGACAAATACAATTCTGTAGTCTGAATGGAAACTATGACATATTTTTTTTCTGCATTTTTCTTAAAATTCCTTTTGTTTAAATTACTCAATTTTTTGTATAAAAACGGTTTCGAATTTTGTATAAAAACGCATGAAAGTCCGATGATCAAACGACGGCTGCCTGTTAATTTGCCGAGGGCAAATCAAGGCCACGAAACTCTCCAACACCGCTTGCAATCGATTTTCAAACCAACAGATACTAAAGAAGCGTAACTTATAATTCGTTAGACGAGCGATTATTAGCGCGCATCTTTTGTTTAATGAACATTTTCTTTAATATTGAAATGCCGAAGCATCGACGATAATATCGCACGTAGAAAGGCAGTCATTTTGCTACAAGTTGTACAGTATTTCGAAAGGTTGGCGAGAAAGAAATACGCGTGTGTAGGTTGTGTCGTGGAGTATTTTAAAATATCAATGACCGCATTATCGATACTCGAACTCGGAAAATGCGTGAGAGACCCCACGTCGCTTTTCGTTGGCCAAGTTGAAGTTTCAAACACTCATAAACGTCATGGAATCACAGTCACGGCGCAGGAATGCAACAAAGTTGTTGCGAGAAAGAAATAACGAACGAAACCTACAATCCTGCCTAGAAGTTCGTTGCCAGAATATGAAGTCCAGGAAACAAAAACATTGTAATTGCAATAAAACAGTTTTAATTGCAATTTCAATGCTTTAAAATGATAACATCGTAAGTGAATTTAATTGTTCAATCTTCCTGGATGTTTCGCAATTTTCCGAAATGCTCAGAAATTAACATTATATATTATTATTATTGCGTTATTCAGATTCGTAGCAATTTTTCCAGCTTAGATTAAAAAGAAGTGAACATGTTGTCCACGAAAGTATTGAAAATATTTGTTCAATAGTAATAAATTATACTTTAACTGTATATTTAATATGTGTAATATTATATATGTATTTAATATATATCACATTTATAGAGTATAATTATATAGAGTATAATTAGAGAATTATTATATATAATTATATAGAGTATAATTAGAGAATTTAAATAGAGTATAATATATATTACATATATATATATATATTTTATATATTCAATTATTTTATAATTTTACATATTTATTATACTTATCATATTATACTAAATATTATATATATATATAATACATGTAATATTATTATATACTATATATTATTATTGTACTAAATATTATATATATAATGCACATAATATTATTATATACTATATATTATTAGTGTGCTAAATATTATATATATATAATACACGTATATTATTATATACTATTATATACTATATATTATTATAGTGCTAAATATTATATATATATAATACATGTAATATTATTATATACTATATATTATTATTGTACTAAATATTATATATATAATACACGTAATATTATTATATACTATATATTATTATTGTGCTAAATATCATATATATTATATATATATAAAATATTTATTATGTTATTATATTATATTATATATATAATGTTTATTATGTTATTATATTATATTATATATATAATGTTTATTATGTTATTATATTATATTATATATATAACATTATCTCTTTGAATTATATATATAACATTGTCTCTGAACAACAATTGTCTCTTTGAATCTGTAAAACACGTTCCAAAGTTTTAAGCAAGAGTGTACAGATCATCTACATAGGCACACACACGTATATATAATAACAACATCAAACTCGTTGATCGTGGCAAAAATTCAATGTTTCGTTCAAGCATATTATTTCATCAAACACCGATTTCGCAACCTTGTATTCGATTCCTCTTTTTCTCGGCGTCCACCCTGAAACAACGCTTAATCAAGCGTCAAGGCAGTTTAATCTGTAGGCAATTATGACGGAATGGTTGCTGAGGTTTGCTCGCTAATGGCACAGCCAATGTTGTAATTGTATTTCGTTTTGCTCGCGTTTTGTGCCCCGCGTGGAATTTGGCTGGTGCAACCGGCTTAAATACAGTTTCCCTCCTACGTCGACGTATCCAAGGGTCAACGTGGGGATTTTGCTCGGGGAAGATCAAGCCCGTGGAATTCAGTAGTGGCTTGAACCTTGACCCGACTCCGTTCCCTTTTCTCTCGCGCGTATTGACGTATCCCTGGCTTCGATCAACTTCAACTTCCACCGACGGTGGTTCGCGGCAAGTTGCGCCGTGGGATTTTCAACTAGCCGGGCAGCAACCAGTTTCGATCTCGATCGTTGCACCATAACTCGTCCATAATGAAAACACGCAACCGTTTAGCCGGAGAGAGAGAGAGAGAAAAAGAAAAACGCCGAAGGATAACGCCTGAACAACATGGGACAAATAATTCGAAGGAACGCGCGTTCGTCGTATTTCATTTAATGACACCGCAGCCACGATCGCGAAACGCTTGTTTTTCTCTTTGAGATTCCGACTCGTGTTTCCACTCATCGATCTTTTGCCAACGCGTCACCTAGACGGCGGATGTTTATGCAATATTTTGTATTTTTACGAAGATAATTAATCTGAACGAAACGGACGTGGAGAATTATTCCCCCTCGTTAGACATTAGGGTGGGGAAACATTCCTCTGAGTATGTCTTGGAACACGTCACGTTTGCATATTTTTATGGTTTTTTGTTTTTCTTCTTTTTTTTTTTTTTCTTTTGCGCGCGCGCGCGCTACGTGCATTGCATATGTTCCAAAAGCTGCAGTCTATATACAAGTGGTGTCTCGCGACGTCATAGACAAAGAGCGACTTTACACACGAAAAGAAATGAAGGAAGGAATAAAATCAAGGCTTCGTGTTTGGAAGGTGATTCGTGTTATGACAATTAAACTATGAAAATCTGTCGAATGTATAAAATACAATTCTTCTTCGTTAGAAGATTATAAGAAGATATATATAAAATACAATTCTTTTCCTCTACGTTTAAAAGAAAAAAGAAGAATGAAATACAAATGTTATATATATATATATATATATATATATATATATATATATATATATATATAAAACATAATAAAATAATAAATATTACATATATAATATATATAATATTTAGTACAATAATAATGTATAGTATATAATAATATTACATGTATAATACATATATAATATAATAAAATAATAAATATTACATATACAATATATATAATATTTAGCACAAAAATAATATATAGTATATAATAATATTACATATATAATATATATATGTATACTTGTCATATTATACTAAATATTATAAATATTTATATAAAATATTATATATATATATATATAATAGTTTATTAAAACTAAATTTTATTTAGTATAATATGACAAGTATAATAAAATTATAAAATAATTGAATATATAAAATATATATGTGTGTAATACATATTGTACCTTATTTATAAATTCCCTAATTATACTCTATGCAATTATATATAATTATTCTCTTTAATATAATAATTTCATTCTCTCCAATATAATTATTCTCTATTATACTCTATTGAATCTGAATATTTCTCAACTGAGCTTATCCAAATTTATCCATTTTCTTGCGAGAACGAGGCCTTAAAAGAGAAAGTTACTTTTCCCCCGTCCCTGTATTCATCCCTGTCCAATCTAAAATTAATTCGAATTCGAGTAACACTTGATAAGTACATATCTCTCGAGCAGAATCGAAAATAGGAAGAACGAAGAACTTCCTGATTGCAAGTCGAAATGTTGAGTAATCCGAGGATTTGTCAGAGAGAAAAAGAGAGAGAGAGATTAAAAAAAAAAAAGAGAGAAGAGATCGAAAACTTGATGTAGGAGAATCCCAAACAGACTGTGTACTCGAGGTCATTGCACTCAAGCCAAGAGACTGTTAGACCCATATACGAAGGTAACGAAAGTGGACAGGCAACTGCCGACGATCCGACGCACTGAAATTGAGCTAAAGGGGCAAACAGGAGAAACAGCGCGCATTAACGATCCCGTTCACCTTGGCTCACGACTAGTAGTCACCAACGAGGTTTCTGCCCCCTTTCGAGCCTGCTCCACGCTCCATCAAGCCACGGAATCTAACTGCATCCCTCGTCCCTCGGCCACGATCTTTTATTCCGCGAGTAACCTGTCCCCATTGTCCTCTTCCTCTCCTTAATCACTGCCCAGAGCGGTTTCTTTGTTCATCCGCGATGACGAGGCGCCGTTTCAGCTCGCTTTTGATTACGAATTTCGATCGTTCCCGCGTGCATCGTCGTTCGAATGGCGACCAGTGAATCCTCTTATCGCTGATCGAGATATATTACGAGGTTAATCGTATGCCTACCTCTTGGCCTCACGCTAGTTCAAACAGCCGCGTCCGACTCGAGACCTTAGACAGGAAAGTCGGTTTCTCTTTTTTTTTTCTTTCTTTCTTTCTTTCTTTCTTTCTTTCTTTCTTTCTTTCTTCTGTCTTTTCACTGACATTGGGAGTTGAACCGCATCTGGGGAATTGATTAGAATATAATAGTGTCGAGTTCGCTCATTCGGGCATGCACGTGGATTCCAAAGTTCGGAACAAAGATGGTTAAAATCGAAACATTCGTGAGGTATACTGGAGATTGTAATCTCGCGTGAGTTTGTGCATGATTACCGTACGTTATTGTAAATGAAACTTAATTTTACACTTTAATCGATCGTAATTGCACGTATGTGTATTTACTTCGTAAATTTTCCACTCCAGTTTATTTACGTTTCGCAGTCGGCAAACGTTACTTTTTACTAATCAAAGTCAATTATTAAGTCACAATTAATATCCGTGGTTAATGTTAATTGAAGTTATAGCCTATAAAAATCAAGCATCTAAAGCGAAAGAAATAATAAAATGTAACTCGTTGGTTTATCAGTCGCGTAAAATGAAACATCAAGTTATACAAACGTTTACGTGGAAATTAAAAATTACATTGTGTTAGATATTTGTGTCATTTGGTAAATGAATCAATGCCTGTACAATGTCTGAAATACTTGTTTTTTTTTTTTTTTTTTTCTTTAATTTTTGAATGAAATTTCGATTTTCGAGACATAGAGTTTAGGTTAGAAAAAGCGCTACACTACTTTTGGTCGCTTCGCATTATTATTTATTCGTTCAGTTTTGCAATTTTTAAAATTTCCAACACGAAGTGCATGAAGATCCGCGATACAATCATTGAAATATTTGAATTTTATGCGATTGATAAGCCGAGATGGTCGGTTGATTTTTAATTAAATTAGAGAACGTATTCTTTCTTGGATGAAACCTGGATTCGTCTTTCAACTGGGACATCTTTCAGCTGAGTCGGTCGAGAAATAAGAAAAAGGGGCAATTGAAATTTCAAAATAGTAAATCTGGAATAAACGAGTCAATCGCAGCTCGTCTCATCTCGCGACGTCATCGTTTTACGTTGGAACAATTACACGAAATAATTACACTCGTGTCTACCGACCGAAAAAATTATCAGCGTGACATTACTTGTTATACTTGTAGATCAGCTGCAGTCTGCTGATGATAGTTCGAGAATAATTAGAACAAGGTAAACCAATTTCGACAGCATGTTCGCGTGCATTGACGCAAGGACGTGCTTTCGTTTCGCTATATTTTTCGCTGTTGCACGTGACTAACCCTGTCAGTACTTACTGGCAATCTTTCTACTCGTAGAAATATCATTTTAAAATTACAAAATCTCGCATTACTCTCTTGCAGCGAAAGTACTTTCTACTGTGAACGTTTCGTCTTGTAAAACTCATTGCTGGACGGCGAATCTCTGTGCAGTTGCAGATTTTAAGATTTTGGAAAGAAAAAAATTGCACCGAATTTATTATGTCGAAATACGAAGGAATACACAGAACATCTAAGATACAATGCTGTCTAAAACGACTCTATTTTCTTAATTATAGTGTCAGAAACAGGAATCCGCGATCTAGTCACCATGACAAGTTGAAACGTATTTATAATATAATATATTATAAAACTGCGGATTCCGTATCGAGATATTCGAACACTTTTCCTAGTTATCGCCACCTCTGACGAAACGTCACTATTAAATAAGTTCGATAGACTGTAAATCTGTATGCAATTTATATTTTTTCGTCACACACTGTCGCTCGTAACTACGCAGACTAATTATTTCTTGTCTTGGCCGTTTAGACATTCAGAGCATTCGCGTTTCTTGCTTGTAAAATTACCCTGGGTCATTTTAATAGAATCAAAAGATTGACGAGTAAATAGCTTGATAAATAGCTTGATAGAGTTCTTCGAATTAAATTGCTTTCGTACCTTTTTTTCCTCGATCGACTCTCCGAGAGCCTCTCCACTTTAAACGCCCGAAGCGATTCTAACTAATCATCTTGACGCTATTCATTTGCATTTCCCATTCTCTTGCGTTCGTCTTCCAACGCTCGATGTACAAAGAAGTTTGAAAATCCGTAGCCGCGCGAGCGAACGATTTCGAAATCGCCGTGTATTCTCGATCATTGACCGTTATCATTAATTTCTCGCATTCCCAAGATCTCTCGCCGGCATTTAATTCGAATTGAACCAGGCAACATTCGATGAATTGGCTCAGCTTCGATCGCCGTTAAGGCAATTATTCACCAACAACACGGAATTCCTATGAATCACTTTAACCAGGTTTAGTAAGTTACGCCGCGTGTATAGCAGTCCGCGTGATTTATCCCCCAATTTCACAACGCAAGGATAACCGGATCAATCAAGACGTATGTGTGTGTCTTTTTCTTTCAGGTGTTGTCAGGAATCAGGCAACAATGTCGGGCATCGTCGAGTGGTACAAAGATCTCATGTACAACAAAGCCCGTAAGGAAACCCATGAACCTACTCTCAGTTGTATCACTGAAGCGTGAATATCTTTACGAAAGTAGAGATTTCCAATGAGCGTCGGACAATGCGACTTCTTTTTTTTTTTTTTTTTTTTTTGGCTGTTAACCTCTTGCGCTGAAATGTGGCAAAATTGCAATATTTCCACAGTTTTAACTATGTTCAAGCACAAGGCGAACAAATAGCAGGCAAAATAAGGCAAAACAAATAATAAATTTATTAATTTTCGATTGTTTCGTTTCCAGACGAATTATTGTGTATGTACGGGTCTGGTCACTCGTTATGGTCCGCAATCAGTTGCCCAGCGCGAGTGGTTAAAAAGCTCGTTTTCGAATACCCTCCCCCTCCCGGCAGAAAGTTCTCGACAGAACGCAAGTGCTCGAAATCTTTCTCGAATTGAAAGTGAGTAGTATTCGATACTTCGATAATTACGATGTTTCAATTACTTGCGTTTGATCGACAGACTTCCTGCCGCGGCCGTGTACTCGTTTCGAAACCTGAGCGATGAAACACAACACTTGGCGCAATAAAAAAAAAAAACTCTCTGTCAATTAACATGCACTGACAATTGCGCGTTTCGCAAAATTGCAAAATTTTGTCATCTACGACAGACAATACGACTGAATGTGAAACCTCTGTAACCTAACCTTTGTTTAGTATACGCACGAATAATCTTATATATCAGTGACAGATTAATTGGTCCACTCGTTTCCCGAGATTCAAGGCGGATGACAATATTAAAATATATTGTATGAGACTAACTCAGTATTGAGATGAATTCAGTATTAAAGTTCTCAGTTTGGAGATGAATTCAGTATTAAAGTTCTCAGTGATTCTGAGTGTGCAAGAGGTTAAAAAATGAAACGAGTACGCGAGTCTAACGCTCACGGGAAACACTCCGCTTGAAGTGACACGAGATTTCCAACACCTCTGATTGAAACTGTTTCAGATCCACTGACAAAAGAATGGTTTCTAATATCAGGACCGGGCCCCCTGGCGATGATCATCGCCAGTTATGTATACTTTTGTCTATTCGCCGGGCCGAGGTACATGAAGGATAAGAAGCCGTACGAGCTGAGAACCACCTTGATAGTGTATAATTTCATACAAGTGCTATTTAGTATATACCTGTTTTACGAGGGACTGATGAGCGGATGGTTGCACGATTACGATTACCGTTGCCAGCCAGTCGACTATTCGGAAAATCCGCAAACTCTAAGGGTATCTTTTCACCATAATTCGCTAAGCTAAGGTGGAAATTTGCTAGCGTCGCGCCCTAGTGGTCACACAGTTCGATAAAATGAAAGAAGAAAGGAAATAAATCAGTAACTTTCAGGCGATCGTTGTAAAGAGAAAATTGCAATCTTCAAAGTCGTGGCGGATTCGGCAGTGAAAAGCAAATGTTTTCAATGTTTTCTAGAGACTTTGGAATTTTTGTTCATCAATTTTCGAATGTACTTGCCGGCTTTTGCCAAAAGAAACCGAACCTGGGACTGTCCAAGTAAAGATCAACTGATCAATCCTTATATATCGATTTATCTTTTTTTTTCTCTCTCTTCCTAGAAGTTCAACTCACTATCGACAATTAGAATTTTCCGAGACGCCGATCGAATATCGTGGATTAACGCTGACGAAACTCTCACTTGCAGATGGCCAAAGCCGTACACTTCTACTTCATGTGCAAGCTGATAGAGATGCTGGACACGGTGTTCTTCGTCCTTCGGAAGAAGGACCGTCAAATCTCGGCGCTTCACGTCTATCATCACGCTATAATGCCGTTTTGCGCTTGGGTCGGGATCAGATTCGTGCCGAACGGCCATGGGACGTTCCTGGGCGTGATCAATGCCTTTATTCACATAATTATGTACGCGTATTACATGCTGACCTCGATTGGCCCGCACATGAACAAATACCTCTGGTGGAAGAAGTACATAACGATACTGCAGCTGGTCCAATTCGTCCTGGTCTTCGTCCACACCGCTCAACTCTTCTTCAATGGATGCAACTTCCCGAAATCGTTGGCGTTCCTCCTCCTGGTGAACGCACTGTTGTTCATCTACATGTTCGGCTCGTTCTACGTGGAGAATTACATCAAGCAGGACAGAAATAAGAGGAAGACGGACCCTGCGGCGGACAAAACGGAATGAGCCCGGCGCAATCGTCGGCGTAATTCGTTTTCTCGCTCATTAGATAGACTTTCGTTACGAAGGAGCAAATTCCACGTCCGTTAGGCATACAGTTCTCTAGCGTTTAACCCCTTGATTGCGGCGCACTCTGACGAAAGCACGCCTGACAAGGGCTGCGTGCGCAGCACACCGATATTTGCATAAAAATCGTTGTAGAACGAGGGACTGATAAGGGATCGATCGTTGGCTTCACGTTGAAACGCGATGAAGTAATGAAAAATTGTGCGCACGATACGTGATAACGTGTATGTATCGGGTTATAGATAGACGGCGGTGTCGCATGCGAATTTATACTTTCTGTGAAAATGATTAAAACGGCTGAACCTGGGCAGAGGTTTGTTTTACCAATTGAACATTGTAACAATTGTTGTGCAAACTTTTGACGTTTGACACCGTGTCGTTTGTTATGGGTATTTTTACATATCGCTATTCACATAAATTATTTACATAATAAATGTATTTATATAAATTTAAAAAAAAAAAAAAAAACCCGCACGCTAATTGTGACGTACGATACATGGTACGAAGTTAGGTTCCAATCTTTGCGCTGGTATCTTCTTTCTTTATTGCGTGAATCGTGATATATAAATATGGTTGTTTCTGCAGAAGATGGTGTATATCGATGCTAAGAGGATCGGCGACGCTATTTGCGATTTTTAGCAGAATTTATTGATCTCTGAAAACCGATTGTTGTAGTGTTAGCAGACGTGCGAGATAATTTGTCAGTAAACTGCAAGGCGCTATGTGTACACAGTCAAAGGGTTAATATTTTGGATATTTATTGCCGGTCGATCGATTTCGTTTATTCGACAATGTGAAACGATCTTCCACGAAGCTAGGAAACAGCATATTTCCGACGTTTCGCTAAATTATTTTGCAACGGCGACATATTTATCGTACGCAAGCTCAAATCGTCCTTAAATCGTTTTCCTTTCCTTCTTCCTTCTTTCTCTTATCAAAACAATGTACGAAAACAATGTCCATTCTATTTTACATTGTACATTGACCGCGTATATTTATGTACGAAACTTATATATACAATACGCTCTCGCCAAAAACATTTAGAGCACGCTAACATTTCAAAAGAGACAGATAGTAACTTTTTCCTATTAAATAAATACTTTACGTACAATGTCAACTTTTGAAATTTTAACTAGTTATACATAAAGATGAAAATTATTAACTTATAATTTCTTGTTCAACTCAAAACATTTGACATTTTATTATTCGTCTAAAAAGTAAAAAGATGCTGTACAATTTCAAGCAGGGGTATATGTACATGTACATGATACATGCAACACTTTTTAGGTTCAAATCTAATAAAAGCTGTACAAGCGGCTCCCTGTTTCCATTTTTATATTAAATTCGATTGTCTCTACCTCGTTTAAAAATGGTGCATGCTCATATAATGTAATTCAGGTCCTAGAGAGAACTTTTTTACAGCCACGTTAAGAAACAAGATGCACACTTTCAAGAATTGAAATCTGGTACCTGAAAATCGTGCCACAGAACGAAACGGAAACGAAATGCGTCGGAAAACATAATAAGAAACACGAAATTAGTTTCAACTAGTAACGTTCAATCGATAATGTCCATAATGAAAGAATTGTACGATCAAGGGCATTGAAAATCGATTTGGTTCTTTAATTAATCTTGTCCGGATTTCGACACAGACGAGATATATGAATAGACAAAACGTTTGATGTATTTTTTTTTTTATCTTACCATTTCCAGATCTTAAGAACCCCTTTACCATTTTCACGTCACATCCTGACGTACCGATTCAGCCAAGTTTTGCACTGCAGCGCTACCAGCGATGAGAATTGAAATTAAAAAATATGGACAGTATTGCCACATCTGCCTCGAGAATTATTTACTGAATCGTCTGTGCCTATGTCATACACTATTGCTGTGTCTCCTCGTCTGACACGCGACACATATTTCTATATTTGTCGCAGACTAGTGCAACCCTGGATACTGTTGCAATACTTGGATCTATGTTTTTTGAAAAGATGTAGTTCCTGTAGAAGGAGTTCCCGTGGCTTCCTTATTGCAAGCGAGGACAGTAGAGCACCGTGGGTGTTTTGGTCGATAAGAATCCGACACTTCCTGCGCCTCTTCTCTCAGAAGAGCTAGGAGTCTTGTGTAAGATTTCCTCCAAGAACAAAGAAAAAAAAAAAAAAAGAAAAAGGATAAGGTCAAGGTAGGACTATAAATGATAGAAGGTAGAGCGTGTGCCTTCTCAGAGTCGCCACCAGACACTTACTAGCTAGGTTCAAACGCTCGGTTTGCTAGGAATCTCTAGGATAAGCATGGACGGTCCACCATCCTAGAGGTGTTACGCACGCTGCAGATCGCACCTGAGCGAAGACTAAGCGACATCCACTTGCAGCTTGCGGTATTCTTGAACATTTGTACATTAAGCAGGGACTGGATGCGTTGGTCATTGCACTACTTGCAAATTTTCGAAAATTTTTCAAAACAAATTGTGTTTACACCAAAAAAATGTAAATAAACATTGGAAATCAAAACAAACAACCAAAAAAATGTAAATAAACATTGAAAACCAAAATAAACAGACCAGTGTTTGCAAAAAAAAAGAAAATTCAAAGTTTTCGAAATTTCAATTTCAAATTTTCAAAAATTTTTCAAAACAAAGTCTGTTTACATCAAAAAAAATGTAAATAAACATTGGAAACCAGAACAAACAATCAAAAAAATGTAAATAAACATTAAAAACCAAAATAAACAGACCAATGTTTGCAAACAAAGGGAAATTTCGAAATTCTCGAAATTCTGATTGCAAGTATACTTACCCAGCATCCATAACTTATCCGCAAGTGTTAGAAATGATTTCATAATAATTCACTTAGAACTAAGTTAACTTACAAATACTTACCCATACTTACCCAGTATGTACTGTCCACACGTGTTATAGATGATTTCATTGTATAATAGATCATTAACAAACTACTGAAATATATATATAACAAACTTTAAAATTTCGCTTTGATTGCAAACATTGGTTTGTTTATTTTGATTGCTAATGTTTATTTACATTTTTTGGATTATTTGTTTTGGTTTCCAATGTTTATTTACATTTTTTTTTTATGTAAACACACTTTGTTTTGAAAAATTTTCGAAAATTTGAAATCGGAATTTCGAAAACTTTGAAATTTCGCTTTGTTTGCAAACACTGGTCTGTTTATTTTGGTTCCCAATGTTTATTTACATTCTTTTGATTGTTTGTTTTGGTTTCCAATGTTTATTTACATTTTTTTGGTGTAAACACACTTTGTTTTGAAAAATTTTCGAAAATTTGAAATCTAAATTTCGAAAACTTTG